GCTACACCTGCCTTCTCCCAGAGAGAAGAAGAAGAGCTGAGAAGGAAAGGACTTCGTGCGAAACCAAAGACCACCTTATCGCCCAACAGTGAAATTGACTTTAATGGGGGAAGGATTCAATCGCACGATGACCATATTACCTTTACTCAAAAAGGCCAGGCAAAGCACCTGAAACTCGTTGATCCTGATGCGCACGATGCACATCAGCAGTATGTTTCCCAAAGGGCAAGAGGAGCATACCTCGCATCTATCTGTCAACCAGAGGCATCATACGACCTGTCAACTGCAGCCCAAACTAAGGAACCTGATAAGAAGGATATTGAAGCTTTGAATGTACGACTTCAGTGGCAAATCGATAACCCTACACGAGGTCTTACATATATCCCTCTTGATCTCCATCGTGCGAAGATGTACATCTTTACGGATGGATCATTTGCAAACAACTCAGATCTATCGTCACAACTTGGATTTGTTATCGTACTAGCTGAGGAAACAGCTCGCACGACAACAGACTTCCAGATCAAAGGAAACATTATACACTGGAGTTCAACAAAGTGCAAGAGAGTCACACGAAGCGTACTTGCAAGCGAGTTGTACGGGATGACCACAGGATTTGATAGTGGGATATCCCTTAGTACGACACTCACCAAGATCCTTCATACATTACAACTCCCAAGGATTCCAGTTATCATCTGTTCAGACTCACGATCTCTGTACGAGTGCCTCGTACGACTAGGCACAACAGATGAAAAGAGGCTTATGATTGATATTATGAGTCTACGTGAGTCGTACGAAAAGAAAGAGATCTCAGAAGTGAGATGGATTAATGGGAAAGATAACCCTGCCGACGCCTTCACCAAGAAATCGCCAAACTCAGCACTTGGACAATTGATTACAACAAACACATTAAGGATTCGAATCGAGGCGTACGTTGAAAGATTAGGAGAAAACACTTGACAATTAATTCGTACGACCTCACCGCCGTACGTAACCAACTATCTGAAAACGAAGTGTAACCTCAAGAAGGTATCTGATATACCTGACCACTACCAATGCCGATCTCAATGTCGGATCGTACCTCCACCATATCCACAACCTTCCCGAATTACCATATCGTGCAATCCATCTGATTGTCGTACGAGATTTCAGGGAAGAGAAGTTGTGCGATTACTCCTTGTCGATAACCATGGGGCTGGCAGAAGTGCCAAGGAAGCGACCGCCCTTGCCGACGTTCTTGCCAAGCTTGCTGCCAGGCGTACGAGGCTCACGAGCATTGGTGACGTTGGGAGCCTTGTAGTTGCTGGGGCCGCCGTTGTCATCATCGTCATCATCATCGCCCGGGTTGTCGGACGAATCAACATCTCGACCGCGGTGGGTGCAGCGAGCGCCGTGCGACTGCTAGACGCACTCGGCGCAGGCGCCACCCTGAAAGGTGGGAATGCGGGTGCACTGGCGGAAGCGCGGGGAGTCAGTAGTCGCGCATTTATTGCCACAGGCAATGGCCGCACGACCACGAGACTGAACCAAGACCGCAAGGAAGTAGCCCTGGCGGCGGATGATGCTGGCAACAAACTGCTGGACAGAAGTGTTGCTAGTGACGCGGATCTCGATATCGCGCGACGGCATGTTGATGATGAGACGCTCCTCATCCTGCAGTCAAGGTTAACGTACGAAGACAAGGTAAGGACAAAAGTAACGTACATTGATGGCCAGAGCCAACAGAAGAGCGCGATTGTTGGCGTTGCCAGTCGGAAGACGAAGCCAACGACCACCGGACGCATCGGTATGCATACCGATGTTGCCGAAGATCGAACCACCGGTGGCAGCGAGAGACATGATGGATTGATCGTGCGAGGTGCTACTGATGAATCAGTAAGAGGAAACGTACGAGAGGAAATCCTACGTACAAGTAGTTGTTGTTGGAGTTGATTGAGGAAGAAGGGGAAGATCGTTGTTGATCGATTGTATGGGAAAACGACGCGTGCGAAGGGTGAAGAAGAAAAGAAAAGAGGAAAAGAAAAACAAGTGAGAAGGGTTTTAAATACCTAAGGTTGCCGTACGAAGGAAGGAAGGTACGTTAACAGCAGGAGCAGAAGTGAAGTCAACGAGGAAGGAAGGAACTTCACCAACACGTGGCTTGCCTGCTCAACCAGGCAAGAAGGGAATGGACAGTTGCCTGGAGTTTTGATATTGGTGATTTATCGTACAACGCAAGTGGCCTAACCCACAGGGTTGTACGATGAGGTTATTGATGTCACAATCAGCGCAACCTGATTGGACACCGCAGGGAGTCGTGCAGTCACAAAAGAAAAAGTTGTGAGTGTTGGAATAACAGCACCAGCTGGTTGTACGACACGCACGACTCAGGGACACACATCATGGCAGAGGGCACAGACTGGATATTCGGCTCTCGGTTATCCATTGAGGGGATCAAAAGTATATTCATGCCGAACTGACTCAGGGACGTACGAGATCATATATCTTGTGTACGAAAGCCAAGTCTTGTAGTTAGGAAGATAATCACGGAAAATACATCTTTGGTTCACCCTAACTTTAACCCGAGTACGATCGTACAAACGGGTTCTCTCAGGAAGAGAGAATCCATTCAACACGGAAAGATTCTTATCCTAGCCTTGAGATGGTTATAGTAAACGAACACGGAATCGAGAATAGAAGTCTTATTTCCTCTCGTAAAAGACAGTGGTTTATCGACCATCGGCGCCCTCACGCAGAACCCGGCAGCTTCAGTCCCGTAAAGTCCTCCAAAGCCCTCACCACCGCCTCCTGCAAGCCTACGTCTTCGGTAGCAGGCAGCGGCTCGCCCTTTTGCTTTTTCGGATCAAAGTACCGACCCGTCTCCCCACTCACATCGTATTCGCCCTCGGCCAGCATGACATACGTCTCCAGCCCGTCTTCCATCTTGTCAGGCGCCTCGAACTTTGTGAGCTTGGTAGGCACGTAGCCCGGGTGCATCGCCACCACCGACGTGCCCTTGCCCTGCATCCTCCTCGCGGCCGCATTCACGAGGCACATGACGTGAAACTTGGAGTTGCAGTACGCTTCGAAGTCGTTCCACTCCTTCTCGCCCCTCCCGAGCCAGAAGATGTCCTCGACCTCCGGCTTGGCCTCGCGATGCAGCACCGACGCCACGAACACGATCCGTTTCGGTGGCGTCAACAGGCAGGTGAAGATGTACGGCGACACCAAGTTGACAAAGATCTGGGCGGGCACGCCCGACTCGGTCTCGCGGAAGGGCCCGTACAGCAAGCCGGCGTTGAGGACAACGGCGTCGAACTGCCCGACTGCGTTGGCCTGCTCGGCGAGGGAGCGAGTCTCGGACGTGCTGGTGAGGTCGGCGACGAAGACGCCCGCGGCGCCAGGGACGAGGTTCTTGGCCTCTTCGGCGCGGGCCGCGTTGCGCGCGTGCAGATAGACGGTGTGGTTGCGCTCGACGAGTTGACGGGCGGCGCCAAGGCCAAAGCCGTCGGTGGATCCGGTGATGAGGATGCGGCCCATCTTTCACTCGGGTGACTTGCGATGGTTTGTAGGGGTGGGATTGATGTTGTGTTGGGATGGTGTGATTTTGACGACCAGGAGCTTAAGTGAAATGGGGGGAGGGGTTTGTAGGGACCGATGGTATGTGGAAGACGGCGGGTGAGATGTGTGAGGTCCTCACGACTTCAGCGAGTGGGTTGGGAAATTGGGAAATTCAATCGGAAGCAAGAAAAATCCTTGATGGTGAAGTGGATCTGTTTTGTAGCAACGATTACAAGAGGCATTTTGCGCATCATCGGCTTGGATCGGGGTAAGAAGTAAGGGAGGTCGGTGGGTTAGCCGACCCAGCTGAGTTGATATTGTACCAGGTACTAATTAGCCCGGGGTATTCTCAAAGTATACCGTCTCCTAGAAGTATCCGTAGTGTAGACCGTGACACTTGGATTTCTACGGATACTGTAGGGCTGATTTCTGGTGGAGCATCTGCACGCTACCTACCTGTTGGGCGGCGGGAATTAGAAACCGCACAGCCTCATGTTTGACGGCTGCATCGCCAGCACGAATTTCTCAACAACAACAACTCAGAAATCCGACTAATCTTCGATGAGAAAGTTGTAGAGATTCAAACGAGGAGTCCAATCCTATTGGTTGCGCACGTTGTCGTGAAGAACCAGGGGGAACTCGGAGGCTCCACCTCGAGCTATCATTCCAAATGGACTTACATACCGCAGATATGCCGGTTGGTTTCTAATTTCCGTCACCTGCTTGTACCTACATTACAGATGCCCGGGAGAGCTGACAAGGCTCTGCAAAATCCTAACAGTAGGCTTATGATGGGGTCGTCTGTTCTGTACTGTTTACTTCAAGCTAAGGAAGGGAAGAAGGGAAGTTCAAGTCAGCGTGGATATTATCATATTATACAGGCAAAGGTAGCTCAGCTTCTTCTTTTTTTTTTGTTCTTCATAGCCTTACTGTTCCATCTCGGCGGCTAACGTGAAGTGAGGGGTTTCCAGTGGGGCACCTAGTGGGAACCGGCGGGGTTGGGCTGACAACCCCGCTAAGCCCCGCTGAGCTCCGGATGGCCCGGGCAGAGTCCCGGCGTCGTATTAGGGCACCGGCCCGTAACACGCGGCGCTACGTCGCATAGCTAATAATTCAGCGCCGACAGCGAAATACAAGTAAAGCTACAACCAGCCACATCATCACCGGTACCGGAGATTTCACACACCCAATTAAAGCACTTCCGAAGTTGACAAAGCAAGTACTTCATACTACTATTCGTGCCAACCTCGGGACCCCTGATATATGCCCCAGGGCATTACGTACGACTCATTACGTTTAAAATGCTTTCCCAAGCTCCACGGCGCGGTCCATCTTTCAGCTATACCCTTTCATCCGCACCTATGCCAACCGAGCTTTAGCATATCTTGTCAGCCTTGCCTGCACCCCTGAGTCGGATCATCTAGGCGCTAAGCAGTGGGCCGGAGGATTCTCCCAAACCATTATTACGTCCTGTGGCCTGTCTATTTCCGGTTCAAATGCACTACCTACGCGCACAGTACTCAGTACTCGTTGTGCATCGAAGCGCGCGACCAGGGCCTCTTCGTCCATTTTCACCATGTGAATGTCCACGCCCGGCCATGTAGCTGTGCGGTGCGCCACGGCCGACTCGTCTGCGCCGGTACCCTTGTCGAAATGCACGGTGAAGCACTTCATCTTGGAGGGCACGGTCAACGATTCGGAGCCGAGGTGGTGGCCTTGCTTCATGAGGTGGGCTACCATGCCGGCCACCGAAGACGAGTCGATGCCGCCCAACAGGCAGACGGCCACCGGCACGTCGGCTTTGAGGCGGCTTCTGGGGGCCTCCAGGAGACGTGTGCAGACGTTCTCCATGAGTTTAGTGGCAGAACAAAGATCAGGGATTAACTACAAGGTAGGCTTTAGAATTGATATGCCATATAGGACAGATGCAGGAAGAGACTTACCTTGTCTAGATACTCGACATCCCAATAATGCACCTAATGCTTTTGCTTACTAGGCCTTGCGACTAAGTAATGTCCCAGAAGAACCTATAGCACATCACGTTTCATCAGCACTTCGTCATCTCCCTCTACGCCTCATCCACAGAGCGCCCAAAAGTCTAAGGAAGAAAGAAGATTTACTCACCCTATAAATACCTTTAAAGTAAGTCTCGCTTCCCGCCCGCCAACTCTGTTCCCGCAACTCCCTCACGCCCTACTCCATTCCCTTTCCAAACCTCAGAAAGCTCTTTATCTCGGTGGTCACTAGCAACTTCCCGTCGTGCCATGTGTAGTACAAGCTCTTGATGCCATACCGATCCCGTCTGGTAATCAGTCTCTTTTTGTTCTTGTCCCACAGCACGAACGTAAACTTGCCGCAGAGGTGCTCTAAGAACGAGAGGCCGTAGTGTTTGTACAGGGCGATAACAATCTCATAGTCTGAAGTCCCGACAAAACGGAACTCGGGTAAGAGGAGATCTCGGTAGTACTCGTGGTTGTAGAGCTTGCTGTTGACGACGGCGGAGATGGTGGGGAACGATCTGTTGCTGCCGGAGGTTATCTTCGATCCGGAGGTTATCATAGATGTCTCTAAAAGCACCCGAGATGCTCTCGCTGGACTGGCAGAGATTGACATGGATACCCCAGCGTGCGTCGTCTTCTCGTCTGGCTCAACTGGTCTCCCAAAGGCCATCCAGCTCCCGCACCGCGCGCTGTCCACTTCGGCGTATCACCTCTCCACCACCGGCCATCTCTCTCAATGCTTCCGTGTCTTCCACTTTGCCTCGTTTGCATTCGACCTCCCCATCGGCGAACTGTTGTTCTCACTCAGCGCGGGTGCGACGGTCTGTTTGCCGACCGAGGAAGAGAGACGAGCGAACCCGTCCAAAGCCGCTGGAGATTTGGGCGTGACGTGGGCTCTGCTGACACCCTCCGTAATCGGCCTGCTTGACCCCGAAGAAGTGCCTACGCTGCGAGTTCTGGCGTCGGCGGGGGAGCAACTTACGACGCAGATCGTGGAGAGATGGGCAGGGAGGGTGAGTTTGTTCAACATGTATGCGCCGGCCGAGTGTACCGTCATCTCGCATATTTCGCGCATTTTACCAGGTGCAGATACACCGCCGGCGTGTATTGGTCGCAGTCCCGGCGCCGTATCGTGGGTGGCCAGCCACAACAATCACGACAAGCTCGTGTCGATCGGGACCATTGGCGAACTGCTCGTCGAAGGCCCCGTCGTGTCGTCAGGATACTTTGGAGACGCCGGGAAAACGGATGCTGTGTTCCTTCTCCTTCGAATCCACCCTCATGGCTGACCCAGATCCGCGGCGAGGCTCAGGGCGGCAAGATTGGCAGGGTGTACAAGACGGGGGATCTGGTGAGGCAAAGAGAAGATGGCACTTTGCTGTCCCTCGGACGCAAGGATGATCAAATTAAGCTACACGGGCAGCGGCCAGAGGTTGAGGAAGTGGAACACAGCATTACCTTGCTGTGCTCGAGTGTCCGTAAGGTGGCGGTGGATTGTGTCAAGATCACGGAGAAAGGAGGAGGGAAGAGAGCGTTTTTAGTGGCTTTTGTCGCGCCGCATGAGTTTGAAGATTGGGGAGAAGTCGGAAAGGAGGGTGGACTGGAAGTGATCCAGACCCAAGGACAACTTCTACACCACCATCGAGAGCCTCTAAACCTCTCTCCAGGACACCCTACCCTCATACATGCTCCCCTCATACTTCCTTCCCTTCTTGAACATTCCCCTCAGCTTGTCCGGGAAAGTGAACCGCAAACTGTTACGGGAAGAATCGACGACTCTCCTTGGCAGCCAGGATCACAGGGAGAAGTACCAATTTCGCACACGCACAGCACGCGAGCAAGCAAGAGACGGAGAGCAGGTTCCTCTCACGGAAAATAAGACCAAAATCCTCCAAATCATCGCCTAGGTGTTACCTTTGGATGCGGCACGACTGCCCATCAACGGCAACTTCTTTGGCATAGGCGGTGATTCCATCTCGGCCATGCGTGTGGCTGCGCTCGCTCGACGCAAGGGACTTCGGCTGGGCGTCGCCGAGATCTTTAAGCACCAGATCCTATCACAAATTGCAGCTTCTTGCTATCCAGAGTCAAACACAAACAGCACCTCTCGAGATTTGTCCGAAAGCTCGTCGACCACCGACAGCAACAGCGAAAAGGCCCTGGGATGTGAACTACCGCCTGGTCTGCCACAGGAAGTGGCGCAGCAAGTGGAATTGGCTCTCCCCGCGACAGATTTCCAGACAATGATGCTGTACAACTTTTACTCGCGCTATCTGTGGGTTTCGCTTCCGGACACCATCAACACCAAAAGGTTACAGTAGGCGTGCAAGATGTTGACGGAGAAGCATTCGATTCTGCGGACCGTGTTTACCACCACCACCATCACCACCACCACCCCCACTGCCTCCGTCGACCAGCTCGTCCTCTGTAGCCTCTTAGTGGGCCTGAAATACTACGAAGATATCGAGTCATTGGAACAGCACTTCACCACCGATTCAATGTCCTACGGGCCCCCAATCAACGTCGCCAAAGGATTCCAGGTGCAACTTCTCTCACTCCGTAACAAGCAGAAGAAGTACCTAACACTGAGACTCCCGCACGCCCAATTTAACGGCCTGTCCCTTAATATCCTTCTCGACAACCTATCGGCCGCCTATGATGATAATACAAGCCATTCTCTAGCTCCCTGCGCGCAGTATAGCGCTTAAAACTACCCGACGTGATTAGTTTAGTGGGGAGGAGGACAAGAAAGTAGCCTAACAGTATTAGGTATAGAAATTCTACTATTTGCAAAAGAAAACCTATTTGTTTCCTTAGGGTTAAGTTAAAAGGGATCAAAAAGAATTAAAACAATTAGAAAACATACAACACCAAGTATTCGCTGGTCGTCACCGACCCAACTACTAATCCGGCCCTCACTGGCTTATCTATGGGAGAGCGGACGGGATCCCGAATTCTCCAGTGGGTATGGTCGTATGTAGTCAATGTTAAAAAGAACCTTGGTTATACAGGCAAGGCTTACCTGAGGTGGAGTTGGTGTTGATAGCTTCAATGAGAAAAGGGTTCTAAATGATGAACCATGTTGTTCAGATGTTGGCTGTTCAGTCTAGCAACTTGCATTTTGAGGGAGTTTGCACTCCACCTTAGACGCTCTCGTGCTTTCGACAAGCCCCAAGTCAAGGAAACACTAGCTTTTCGCCCATGCTTTGCTGTGCCCAACCTCTCCCTCGACCATGCCTACGCAGCATCATTCTGGCAGCCGTGGCTCGCCCACTATTATTCAAACTTTCCCATCTTCCCCAATCAGGATGCTGATATTTGCGCCGACAACGACCAGCGCCTCGAATACCGATTGAACGGCTATCCCAGATCCATCAAACACAGCTTCATCACCTCGCTGTTGCTGCTCTTATTCCTCATCTCATACTCCATCCCCTTGTCGACGCTCTGTGCTACTCGCTTCAATTCATCAGGTCCTCTCACGCCACCTTTAAAGCCAAAGGCTAAAACCGATAATGCCTCATTGGATCAATATCACTGTGCGCAGCGAGTTATGATCAGCCACGACGTCCACGATAGACATGATGCCACTATAGAACTTGATTCCGGCGGGAGTATAAGTGACGCTCACACCAGCGAAGTGCCTGTCGCAGCGATGCAAATCTATATGGCCGCTGAAGTATCCTCTGATGTCTACCTGGTCTTAGTCCTCAAGCTGTCTCATAATCTACTGTCGATGAAGGCGATCTGGGCTTCTTTAGACCAAATGAGTTCTTCGTCATCTTTTCAATCATCATAACTGGCGACAAACGTCTTGCCCCTCCTGTGCGTCGTGCATGGGGCATGGTCTATTCATTACCCAGTCTCCAAAGTGTCTCGTACCTTGTCGACGTGAAGTTCACAGCATGTTTCAATTTAGCTATCAGCTTTAAAGACTTGATCCAGCCACAGGGAAATATGGAGGGGTGTGAAAACAGGACTTAATTAGACGATGGCAATTGAGAAACAACTTGGCCAAGACTTGATCGAACGAATGGCCAAGGGCTGAACTGCCCTTGCTGCTTAAGCACACTAACTTCCAAGTTGTTACTGCGTCAGTAGATCTCGCCAACGTGCCGTTGTCTTCTTGCGCATTGCTGACCAATCCCGCGTGTACAGATGCATCCAAAGATCCACTCAAGCGGCTAACCTCCAATACCGACTATCATTGGAGAGACTACCCTGCTTACTATGCATGCAGATACGGAAGGGAGATCCCCCGCTCTGAGATGGTTGGTGTGATGGCCCAAAGGTGTGTCCGTCATGTGACCGCTGCCTGGCTTCAGCATTAGCATCGTCTTCAGCTCCTGTGGCCTGGAGCCTTATCCATTCCATCCTCTTCATCTGTCCTCTGGTCCCGGCACCGACGGCCCCGTCCATGTTTCGCCCCTATGGACCTCACTATCGCGTTCGGCATCGGCGCCGGCGCAGATAGTGTCGACCCCTTCGACTTCGCCAAGGATGCTCTGTCGCGTGTCTCGCAGATCGCCGTTGACCTTGGCGCGCGCAAAAAACTATGCGTCGCGGGCTGCCTCGCTGCCGAATTGCTCATTGCCCGAAAGACCATGGTCTCGGCAGGTGGGACGCAGCTGCCCAAACTTCAGCGACGGGCTCCCAAGCTTCTGAAAGATCTGGAGCGTGTGTGTGCGGTATGTTGCGTTTAACTGGAGTTGCGCGTTTTGTGCAATGTGTTACTGAACAAACGGCTAAACTGACGCCGCATGTAGTGGCCAGAGCCGCCCGAACCTCACCACCCAATCCTTCGATCCATAGTCAGCCCCAAAGGGAAGGGGAGCGAAGAGCGTGTGCGACAAGGCTTTCAGAGCTTCGCCAAGTCTTCTCCATATGTCGTCGACCAATACTTCTAGAAGCTCGAACGATTTTCTAAGCAGGTGATGTCGAGGGACGACGATGCTAGGAGCAGCGGCAAGACCAACGAGGTGTCCAAAACTCCTGCCGACGATTATCCAGCCCACGTCAATGCCGACCTACATGCTGTCTTGAAGTCATACTCGCGCTGCACATGTCTCACTGGTCTCGGTCATAGTCGTGAGGGCCACCATGCGAGGCTCAAGCTGTGCGACAACGTCGTCAAGGATGACGGGCACGTGGCGTTCGACATGCTCTCCTCATCATTGCCCACAGCATGGGACCACTGGCAGGACCTTCAGATTCGTGTATCCATAAGAAAAAAAGCTAGCAAAGCAGTCAAGTTGTCATAGAGTCACCACTTAGGGAGGAAAAGACATAAGGAAAACGGCTTAGATTTCTATGTACAGGATTACTTTGTCTAAAACAAATAAATACGTATCCTGCGTAGTGGATCTACACAAAGGGACTAGACTAATAGTTAATCTAGGCCTAGTACAAATCTCACAAGGCTACGCAATACGCATAAGGGTATTATGATACACCCCCCTAGGCAGATTAATAGATTCTGACCGTTATATATCTAATAATAACTAACGTATCTGCATAGCGAGTTGCCACTCATAGCAAGACGCCACCTTTCCCTTCTTTCTACCTCTTTGACCTTTACACTAACTTTTCTCTACGTATAAACATGTAATCCTCTTTAATTAAAAGTCGTATTATTTTTGCTATCTAAGCTATTAAATAAGACCTAAAAATGTTTATAAAAAAAGCAGTATTTATCTTTAAGGTCCCTTAAATAATATGTTACGGTCAGATATCCGACAGTGGTGTTTTCTGCTAATAGGCAGCTGAGGTCGATACTCGGTAACAGTAAGGTAAGTCTTGTTGGTAATCTTGCTGGTCTGTTGGTGTCTGGTGATCAGTCAGGCACGTCTAGGCGTAGATAGCTTTATAGCTTCACAACAGAAGGATAATCTAAGAGTCACTTATGAGAGAGTGAATCACGAAGTTGATTGCTGAAGAGCTATGGAGAGTCTTTGAGCCCCAGGCTCAAGTCCTGTCTATATACTGATGTCTCCCTATCGTGATGCTGTTGATGGTGATCAACTAGAGTGGGTCCGGGGTGAGCTGCTCACTTGGTGATCGCTCCCAGTGATCACCTTATCTCTTGATCACTTTCTTATCATCACGTGATCTGTCCATAGTTCTTCCGTTCCGACCCTTGCCCGTAAGCGCCGTGATCATGCATACATGAGCCCGAATGTCCCCTGGTCCCTCGTGGGTTCGTTCCAGGTGGTTACGTTAACCAACGCTTTCCTGGGTCGTAACATCAGGTCTCCCCTCCAAAGGTCTAGCCCCTTAGACCTATATAGGTAAGTGGGTTCCCGCCGCGGGCTGTCCCTGGGTTTATCTCATTCTCATCTTTCTTCCACCATGTCGTTGGTGACTAATGCGGCAGAGTCAGACACTCTTAAATCTGGCAAGGCTTCTTCCACCAAGCGCCGTCTCGCGGATTCCTTGAGGATTCGTGAACACGGAATTGAAATCGAAATGCCGTGTAGTTGGTGTCGTTCCAAGGGGATCCGTTGCAAGATGCTTGCGGGTTTCCAGAAGTGTCAAGAGTGTACTCGCCGGGGTCGCTCTTGTGATGGGGATGATAATGCGGTTTGCGAATGTGAGTGTTTTTCGTGGTTCCGAGGTGTGTGGCTTTCTAATGATCGTAGTGGATCGTTTGCTGAATGAAGCCGATCGTCTGGATAAGGCTGAAGAGCAGGAGGAAGAGTTGCTTCGTCAGAAGGCGGAGTTACTGCGAAAGCAAGCAGAACTGTTCCGTCTTGCGCAGGCGGAGATGGATGCGTCTCTTGCCCGGCTCGATCGTTTACGTAAAGAGAAACGGATGATTTTCAAGAGGGGTCGTGAGGCCGCTGCTGAGTGGCCTGCGGATTCGCCCGTCGATCCGGTGGTTGAGGCGGTTCACGAGGTACAGGCTAGTGGTGGTTTTGGTGCAATTGACCTGTCCTTCCTTGAGTCTTTTGATCCTAGCGATCCGTCCTGGCAGTCCTTCGGTGAGCTGCCTGTTGAGGGTTTCGTGGCTGAGGGTTCTGGGACTCGCGATAGTCCTGAAGGAGTTGCTGGGAGTGTTGGAGGTTCTTGACTGGCTCCCATGAATTGTCCTCGTGTCCGTATCCTTTCCATTTAATAAGATATTGTGTTTCTCCGTTTTCCTCTCGCTCGTCAATGATTCGTTCGACTTCGTACTCCGGTTCGTTTGGTTCCACGATGATGCAGTCGTTGGTGTTTGATCCTCGCGGTGCTGGTTCAAGCAGTGCGATATGAAAAACTGGATGTATCTTCATTGTGTCTGGTAAGTCGAGTTTGAAGTTGACGTCTGAGATTTTCTGAATGATTTTGAAAGGTCCAAGTTTTTTGTAGTCCAATTTGTCACTTGGTCTTTTCGTTTTGATGTTGCGTCGCAGAAGATACGCGCTATCTTCCTCTTCAAAGGTTGGTCCCTCAACCCTTGATGTGTTGGCGTATTTCTTCATTCGTGCCCTGACAAATTCGAGATCTTTGGTGGCATTCTCTTGGATTTCTCGTAATTTGTTGTAATCTGCCACAGCCTTTAGTGCTCGTGGTCCCTGTCGAGGTTCTCCATATGCCGTAGGCTCGAATCCGTAATTCAGGTAGAATGGGGAGTTCAGTGTGCTTTCTCCTATAGCACTGTTATAGGCGAATTGGGCCATTGGAAGCAATGGTACCCAATTGTCTTGGTCGTAGTTGACATAACATCGTAGATACTGTTCCAGTATCTGGTTGATTCGTTCGGTTTGTCCATCGGTTTGTGGGTGAAAAGCGGTCGATAGCTTGTGATCAGCTCCTAGTTGCGAAATCAGGGATTTCCAAAACTTGGATGTGAACAGTTTGTCTCTATCGGATACGATTTCCTTGGGCAATCCGTGGTTGCTGACGATGTATTTCAAAAACGCGTACGCTAGGTCTTCTGCCGTGCTTGACTCTAAGTACGGGATGAAGTATGCGTATTTCGTGAGTCGGTCGACAATGACCAATATGCTGTCATAGTAGGTTTTCGTGAGTGGTTCTTTTGACTTGGGGAGTTTGACGATAAAGTCCAAAGAGATTGAGTGCCACGCTTCTGGTGGCGCTGGTAGTGGTTGCAATTGTCCGTATGGTTTGTGTGGACTATTTTTGCTTTTCTTGCACATGTCGCAATCCTTGATTGCTGAAGCCACTTCTGCTCGAGTGACTCGTGCGTCGTAATGTTGTCGAATTCGTTTAAATGTTTTGGTAACTCCTTGGTGTCCGTGGGCCCTAGCACTATGAATCTCCATGATCTGTTCAGGTGTCATCCTGCCAGTCGTGCTGGTATTGACACGGGTACCGATCATAATGAGTTTCTGTGCTGGGACAAGGTCACCGTTCTTGTCCTCCTTGAGGATGACTTGGGTTTCTTCTGGTACCGGGGTTTCGTGGTCCGGTCTTCGGCTTAGGGCATCAGCTCTTCCGTTCTCAGATCCTTTGACGTAGATGATTCTGAAGTTGAATTCTGACAGGAATTCAGACCATCTGATCTGTCGTTTGTTGAGGACTTTAGAGGTGGTGAAGTGAGTGAGGTTCTTATGGTCGGTGTAGACCTTGACTTCATGTTTGGTCCCGGATAACTGAGGTTTCCATTCTTGGAAAGCTTCGATAATTGCCATGAGTTCCTTGTCGTGGATTTGGTAATTGAGCTCGGCTCCGCTAAGTTTTCGAGAGAAGAAAGCGCAAGGGTGTAGCTTTCCTTCATCGTCGCGTTGGCCGAGTTGTCCACCGATGGCGTAGTCTGAAGCGTCGGTTTCCAGTTCGAAGGGTTTTCTTGGGTCTGGGATTATCAGAACTGGTTCGGAACAAACTTGTTGCTTGACTTCTTCGAAGGCTTTTTCTTGTTCTTCGGTCCATTCGAAGGGTACGTCCTTTCTGGTGAGCTTGATGAGGGGGTTGATTTTGGCGGAATATCCTTTGAGGAATCGTCGGTAAAAGTTGACGAATCCCAAAAAGGATTGGATGTCCTTGACATTTTGAGGTCGGGGCCAGTCCTTGACGGCCGCGATTTTTCCATTTTCCATCCGGATCTTTCCTGGTGTGATGGTGAATCCTAAGAAGTCGACTCGTTGACTGTGGAATACGCTCTTTTCGGGTTCGACTAGTAGTTTGGCTTCTTGTAGTCGTTGGAGTACGGTGTGAACGTGCTTCTCGTGTTCCTCGGGGGTACGAGAGTAGATGAGTATATCGTCTAGGTAGACGACAACGAACACATCTATAAATTCTCTCAGGACGTGGTTGATCATTGTCTGGAAGGTGGCGGGTGCATTGGTGAGTCCGAAAGGCATGACTAGATACTCGAAGTTGCCTTTCCTGGTGCGGAAGCAAGTCTTCCACTCCTCGCCTTCCTTCATCCTGATCAGGTTGTAGGCTCCTTTGAGGTCGATGGCTGTGAACCATTTGGCGTGGTACAGCTGGTCTCGTAATTCTGAGATAAGAGGTAGCGGGTAGCAGTTCTTGATTGTAATATCGTTGAGTTGTCGGTAATCCACGCAGAGTCGTAGTTTGCCATTTTTCTTTGGTACAAACAATATTGGGTATCCTGCAGGGGATGTCGATGGTCGGATGTAACCTTTGCGTAGGTTTTCTTCGAGGTATTTGTCAAGTGCCTCGCGTTCCGTTTCATTCAGTCCGTAGATTTTGTGAAACTTCGGGTGTGCTCCTTCTTTGAGCGGGATCTCGTGATCGTACGAGCTATGTTCAGGCAAGCCGGTTTCCAATTCTTCAGCAAAGAGTTTGGTGTACTTGCGGTATTGTTCTGGGATCGGAGAGAGGCGTTCTTCCTCTCGTTGATCGTTGATGAATTGTTCGAATTGTTCGTCCTTCGTGGGCTCGATTCTTTTGACGTATGCGACGTATCTGTGTCGCTTTGATTCACTCGGGGGTTGCGGCTTGCAACGCTGCCTCGCAGTCGAATCTCTCCATTGGAGTTGGCCTGTTCTCCAATCTATGCTCGGGTTGTGTTGTCGTAACCATGGGATTCCAAGGATGACATCCATGTCTCCTATTTGTGCTATGTCGAAGATCAGATGTTCTTGACGGTCATGGGTAACCATAGAGAGTTGCGCGGTTTCTCTGTCAATGGTGCCTCCACCGTACTCAACTGTTTCTCCTTCCACGTTTTGCAGGGTGTATGGTTCCTCCTTGAATCTCCATGTGATTCCTCGTTGATTCACCAGTCGTGGTGACATCAGGTTTGCTTGTGCTCCACTGTCAATTACGACCTGAGTGGGCTGTCCTTCGATGT